GAGCTGTGGTGGCTAGCAGAATACATGGGATTGAACAGGGAGGGACAATACTTAGGATTAGACTGAGGGTGATATAAGAAAAGGAGGAGGACCAGACAGAGGAGAGACAGAATGATCTGGTGTGGATGAATTTGACTTGGAGGTATGCAGAGGAATTATGTTAACATGTTGGTGAAGAAGAACATAAGTTTTTAGTTTCAAACAGTATTGTAGATAGAAAAGAGCAACCAAACAGCAATAACAAAAACAGAAAATGTACAGGCCTGTAATCCTACTTACTCGGGAGGCTGAGGATCAAGATTTTAAAACCGGCCTGGGCTAGAAAGTATGTGAGACTCTTGTCTGCAATTAATTAGGAAAAAAGTCAGAAACAGAGCTGTGATTCAAGTGTAGAGCACTAGCCTTGAGAACACAAGCTCAGAAAACAGCACCCAGGCCCTGAGTTGAAGCCCTGGGACCCAACTGAGGGGTTTGGGGAGAGAGAAAAATGATGAGTTCAATTTAAGAAGTAAAATCTCTAGGAACCATCAGAGTTTTAGTAAATGGAAATGGAAATTACTTTCAGAAATAAGAATGGAAAAAAAAGGAAAAACTCTGTTGAAAAGAGAATAAATACCAGAGTAAGTAAGTTGGACAAAACAGTATGTTGGAAATGACAATATGACAATTGGACAAGTTGATACCTGAATAACATAATGAAACTGAATCTCTGAACTCACAAACATATAAAAATGACTAAGTAGACTGTAAGGATGACTTCACAGCTTCATTAATGCTATTAAGTGCTTTATAACTGAGACACAACCCTAGATAGTTTCTATTTTGAAACCAACTCTTACTCTGCTTTTCAAGGCATACCTACAACTTGAAATGTTTCAGTTCTATTTCCTAAATAGCTTGGATTACAGGCATGTGATCACCATGTCAGGCTAGATTTATCTTTAAGAGCTAGAACTTTAAGAGCATTTTAGACATAAACATTTCTTGTGTTAGGTAAGGCAAAGACATCAGCAAAGTGACAGAAGAAAAAAACAGAAATAACTAAAGGAAAAATGGAAAGAGGAGTGGTAATTGAATCCTAAAGGATTTAAGCCTGGATAAAAGTCTTCCAGAATTATATAACAGTGGTAAATTGTTACCTTTATGAGTATATTTTAAAATGAGTATATTTTATACTTATGAGTATACTCTTTATTTTTAATATGCTTTTTATTGTAAAAATACTGTACAGAGGGGTTACAGTTACATGAGCAAGGTAATGAGTACATGTCCTATCAAGCATTGTTGCCTCCTCCTTTGTTTTTCCCCTACTATCCCTTCCCTCCCACATCCAGAACTACACTTCCCCCTCCCCCGCCCTCCCCGGCTCCCATTGAAGTTGTAAAGTTCATTTTTCAACATAGTATCTTGTACATCTCATTGTTACAATGGGTTAACTTGTATCCCTATTTAAGCATTTTGTTTTTTCCTTTCTCCTCCCCAAACTAGAGAACTGCATATAGAAGATGCAGGGCACCAACATCAAATACAGTGAAAACAGGGGTTATACCATGGGGGAGGAACATACAATAAAACCAAAAAAATCATACATTATAAATATGTTAGGAACAATAGCAAGCAAGCAAGAAAAAAAACACCCTGTCCCTATCTTGGGGTTCATTTCTCTTAACATCATCTTATCTGGTCATATGTACATAATTTTTGACTTTTTCTGCTTGTCTTAGACATATACTTGTTATTGCAAATAAGGGAAACCATAGGACCTATATTTCTTTGGGCCTGGCTTACTTGTACTTTAAAATTATGATATTTTGATAGTTCAATTGCATCTCACTGAAGCCATTCAGTAAAAGTAGCTTTTGTTCCTTTCAGCTTGGACATTTATGAACATTTTTGCAGCTGCTTGTATTTTCCTCTTATTCTTTCTCAGCCCTGTGTGTGGTGAATGAAAACATTTGATGAGTTTAATATTGAGACACAGCATAAGACAAACGGCCTCTGCGAAGTGCATGTGCTGTTTGCTCTACTGCCTCTTTACTAATCATATGGCAGCCCTCTGAAGCTAGACAATCAAATTTGATGTCTCTGCTCAAGGATAAATAATTATATATTATCTAACACTTCTCTATACTTTCCTCAAAAAAAAATCCAAGCAGAATTGATCTCAGTCTTATCATTACTATACAGGTGAGGAAAAGTAAGAATTGACCAAGTTGAACTGGATTTTTCTCAACCTATCAGTAGTTTTGCTAAGTCCTAAGAAAGCCCCACTATTGCCATGAGTCATAGAGACATAATCCTTCAGTTTGCAAGAAGAAAAGGGTTCCGCCAAGAGGCACATCTGTATCTGAATATAGAATAACACTTCAAACCTCTAAATCTGCAGGGGTCTCCAGTCTCACTTAAGGTCACCTTTAAAGAGATGCTTCTCTGGCACTCTCACATCCTGTTTTCTTATGCTTTGCTTGAGGCAAATTTACCAAGCCCAGCAATCCTTCTGGTTCACTCTAGGCATCCAATACAAAGGTACCTTTTAGGTGTGAAAAGTAGGGGCTCAACAAAACTCTGAGATACAGTTGAGAAAATTCACACTAATACTTCTCTTTTTTAGTTGACACTCTAAACTATCATTGATTATTGTTTTATGTTGTATGGCTATTAAGAAGTCATTATATTTAAGCTGGAAGCCATCTTTTTCTTACAAAAATATAAAACTATTTTTTCCTAAGAAAGCATGTATTTGACAGTAATTCAGGTGGAATCTGAATGGAATGATTTTGACAAAGTGACTGCAAAAGAGGAAAAAATAGTAGCATAATTGCCATGATAGGTTTTAATGCTCATGGAATAAAAATAATAAAAGTAAAGCTGTTATGGAAACAGAAATGTGTTCTGTAAATGAACTTTGCCTCATACATATACACATTATTGTATTTTATTTTGCTTCTATGACCAAGCAGTTGTATTTCGTCATTGGATATGCAGCTCAAATTGTCACCTTTGGAAGTTAATAGGAAATTGGATGTGAGAAAACTCTGGCAGTTACAAACCAAAGTACTGATTTTTCCTTGGAAAATCAGTTCTGGGCTGGGAGGGTGGCATTTTTCTTTGTAAATGACAAGCCATCTACAAGTGAGTTGATTTGTATATGCCTAGTTATATCTGGTGTGGATTCTGGTATTGCCTAAAGGGCTGACACTCACTCACTGCAGACGTTATTACCCATTGATTTTAATGCACTGGGATTTTAAAGCAGATCTTTTTTAAGAATGTTTTTAATTGTAACCTCATTAAGAACAAAAATAAAAGTGTAATTAGATTAATTCTGTGCATTTTCATCCTCCTTAAAATCAAAGTTGATAACAAGTGCATTCATTTCCTACCGGTAATAACTTCAAAATGAGATTAAAGGAGACATTGTATGTAAACTTGATCTGGCTTGCTCCTCGGGGAAATATGAAATATGAACTGGTCTTTCTGAGTAGGAATTTCTGAACAGTTGGTTGGCTTTTTTCCCCTCTGGGTTTTTGGTGCATCTTTCCCTTTACAGAGAACCAACTTTATGTCAGTCTTGGACAAGTGCGTGATCCAGGTGTGGTATTCAAGGCAACGTTGGCTTTCTTAGAACTTAGCAATGCTAGTTATTGGTTGAGACACACTCATTTCAATTTTGTCAACCCTCACATCTAGGATGATGATAATATTGTTTCTATTTTGCGGTGAGGGAATATATGAGTAAGGTGTGAAGAATCGATAGATAATATATAATTATCACGGAAATTATATTAGAACGTGCGTGTGCATGCGCACCACACAGAAACACACAAGTTGCAAAAACAAAAAAATCCTAGCCCTTGAATATCTGTTTGGATAAAGTGGTCCTTATTTTTTGGTATTTTGTATTTAGAGTTCTGCTCTTTCATCTCTCAAACTGAGTGTTCTAAGCTTAGCTTACTGTCTGGTGCCTGTTACAAAATATTTGGAAAAATACAGAAAACTCCGAGACACACACTGCTTTCTAATACCACCGTTCTGAGTTAATTCCTGTTAACATGTTGGGAGTCCCCCCCCCCATAGTTTCTGACGAGTGTCATTACAAGGAAAATAACTCCTTCAGGTGAGTGAACTTGAGCCCCCATGCCTCAATGCCAACAGCGAGTAGGAAACCAGATCGTTTGGTATGAGAAGAAGACCTGCAAATCTCTAAAACCCAGGACCCATTAGACTTCTTCATCGTCCCAGACCTCTCTCTCCCTCTCTCTGTCTCTCTCCCTTTGTGGCCCGCATTTATCGGTTACAGAGCTTGTAGTTGCATTGTGCGTTCAGGGTCCAATTCCGAGACGCTGCTGGAGTGCTGCCCTGCTCCCCATCCGCAGCACGCAAGTCATTGAAAAATTTTAATTAGAACCATATTTTAAACACGTTCTCCTGAGAGACGTTCCTCCAAGCACGGCTTCCTCCAGCGAGAGACACCTGCCGAAGATGCTCGGGGTCTGATGTCTTACTCCTTGCCAAGCAAACCCGTTGGATATCGGTGAATGAGATGCCTTCTGGCCCCCGCCCCCCTTCCCCCCATCCTTGGGTAAGAGCTGAATGTAAGGATCGGTTCCGGCTTGGGGCTAAGCAGAGTGACCCGGAGCGCCACGCGGTGACCAGCGCGCGCGCACGGGGCGACCTTTGGCCACCCCTCCCTCTGCGCACCGCCTCCAGCGCGGGTGACAAGGCGCCCTCTGCGCCCGAGAGCCAGCGCTGAACAATCCCGGGGCAGGGCTCGCCTCGCCGGTGACATCACTCTCCAAGAGACTCCCCGCTCCTACTTAGTTCCTGCCTTCCTGAAGCCTCCGAACCTTTGTAGGTCTCCGCGGGTCCGTCGGCGGCGGGCCGCTGTGGAGGACACTCGTCCCTTGCTGGTGACAGAACCGGGCACCGAGGAGCAACGGGACCCTAAAGAAGCAAGGAAGCCAAGCAGCGAGGGAAGGAGGACCCCGGCAGGAGACAACATGAAATTCAGCCCAGCTCACTACTTGCTGCCTCTCCTGCCAGCGCTTGTCCTCAGCACCAGGTGAGTCCAGGAGCGCGAGTGACCTGAGCGCAGGGGCGCAGCCAATGCGACGTGTGTCCTACTGCGGGTCACTGAGGAGAACCCAAGGCAGAGCGCTTTGCATCTCCCGCTCAGCCCAAGTAAGGCGTTAGCTGCATGAATGTCTGGGCTCTAGCAGCTATCCCAGCCCCTTTGGAGAAAGTCTCAGTACGGCAACAAGGAGGGAGCCCCAAAAGCTTCCCAACAGAGGGAAAAATGTCATTAAAAAAATCTTCTGCCGTACTAGCCTTGATCAGAAAACACGCAGTAATAGAATAAAATAAAGAAAGAGGAAGTGGGGAGATGGAGCATGGTCACCAGGCACGGTCATTAGGCGCTTCGTTTTCATAGTTGGGGAGCTGCCTCAAGGGGTCTGATGTTTCATGCTCCCGTAAGCAGAGACCGCAGGGAAGAATGGAAGACACTAAATGTTGTACAAAAGTTCCTGTCCTCCTGAATTAGTCTGTTTTGACATGTTGGGGTAGGCTTCATGACAGTTGTTTTCTTGTAAACAAGTCTAATTAAAGAATGAGAGGGGGTGTGAATAAAAGTTTGAAGACATTCTTGGAGAGCTGATGTGGAGACCCTAGTCCAGAACAATTAAGTACTGTATTTCATCTTTGGCTAGAGATGAGACTTTAAGCCTTAGCACAGAGACGCTATTTTTAGTGGAGATTTAAAATGCAGTGACTGAGAGTAGTTTTGTGACTCTCTACTGTTGATGGAGTCCAAAGTTGGTGTTGGGTTGGCTTTTTTTTTCTTTTCTTCCATTAGAACAGCACAAGGGTGGCCTGTTTCATTGCCCTGGATGAATTTTTTTTTCCTTCCTGCATGCCCCCAGTATTATACTGGCAGCAGCCTCTTTGCCTTGGCTACTGTGAAGTAAAATAAGCCACACAGGGTGAGGATTCTTTCAAATCTGCATGAATAGAAACACTATCTGATTGTGCATTTGGGTAAAAAGGAAAGGAGGGCCAGAGAATTGTAACAAGTTCTGAAATAGCACGTTATCTGTTGAAAATCTAGAGAATAAAATTATTGGTTCTATTTTCCAGTCTATACTTCTTTCAGGCCTGTGCAATATAACTTTCCTTTTTGTACAGAGACTATTTTATCTAACCCAATAATTTTTGAATTTTAGTTCTTTTGCTGGCATACAAAGCTCAGAAAAATACCTCAGAATAAATCAAATTTTGAGTTTTACTTCATCTAAGGGATGTTCCTTACTCCAGTTCATAAAATGCACATGGTATTGAAGAGAACCATTCTGCATTTCAGTGTTATCCTAACTCACTCCAAATACAGAGCTTGTTTTAATCTTCATGGTTAGCTCTAAGCAGACTAAGGAAAAACTACACATCTCAGTATTCTAGTGATTGCCACCAGCAATAGTATGTTCTTCTTTAATAATTATATATATAGTCTGACACAAAAAGAAAATCTCTTAAGTTTGTATACATATGTAGAAGTCTGTCAATCTATGGCTAAACTAGTAAATATTTGAGCAATGGAAATCCAGGCAACAGTCAGTTTTAAGAGTGAAATTCTCCAGAGTTCTGAAAGAACACTTGCCTTTCAAAGATGCAATAATTTAAGGGCTAAGAAGCTCTATAGTCTCCATCTTCCAAAGTTTCAATATTAATTATGTAACATGGGGGTAATGGGCTGTCAGCTCTCTCTTTCATGAGAATGTTAATTTCTATGAGATAAATGTCTTTAATAAAAATATGAACACAATTATTATGAAAATTGAAACATTCATCTCCAGGTTTATAGAGATATAAAACTTCTGTAAATTAATTGTAGATGAAAACTGAGATAGGTCTTAATATTGTAGAGAAAGAACATGCTGGGCTTAAAAAATGAAAATTTTATAATTAAGGACACATTATTAGGATTTTATTCTGTACAAATTTATTCTACTGGATATCCAGATTAGGTTGTGAGAGATGAGGTAATCAGCACTAAGAACAAACTTGAAAACTAAATGTGGTTCTATCAAGATATCACTTTATAAGAAGAGAATATGCTTTAAAGAACTCTAACCAAAGGCCATTTTCTTGGCACTCTTTCACAGTTCCTACATGCATATGTTGAATGTGCAGGTTAGAACCCAATGTGAACAGCTCTGTGAGAACAGTTGCCTTAGTAAGGTTGAGCCTCTAAGTCCTGCTGACAAAAACTGTGTAGCTCAGCCATGGCCACCTGTGACAGGGCATTTTTCTAGCCAAAGACTTCTGTTAACTCTGTTTCCTAGTCAGTGGTCCCTTATATGGACACATAACACTTCACATGTGTAAGGCAGCATTGAGGCCATTCATAGAGGGTGATAATTGCTTGCTTTCCCCATAGCTTTTGGATGATGGCACTTTTTTTATTTCTCTTTCTCTTTTCTTTCTTTCTCTTTCTGACAACTTTTTCTAAAAGATGGGGAAAGTAGAGCTTGTAAAGTAGACCCTTGATGCAAAAGCATATTTTTTCCATTATTTCTTTCTGTAAATATAGCTCTTAAATACTTTGACATTTGTTTCCAAATAGCCCTAAAGTTTCTCTGTATTAGACACAAGATCACTGATATAAATGCTGAGAAAGCTAGTCATTTATAAGGAGATAAGTGGTCACTCTATTTATATTCTTTCTACAGTGATGACATTGCTAAAATAATCCTGTCTTCAAGTTGTAATTTACTAACTATGCTCCTCTTCCTCCTCACTTTTTCTGCAGCAACTTTTTTTGTATGTTTTTTATTGTAAAAATGCTGTACAGAGGAGTTACACTTACATGAGGAGCAAGGTAATGAGTACATTTCCTATTGAGCATTCTGCAGCAACTTTTGAGTCAGAAGCATACACACACATACACACACACACATGTACACACACATACAATTCCATAAATTTGTCAGAGTAAATATATCATTGTCTCCCACCATCAGAGTCATTTGATTTTTCCTGAAAGATAAATGTTCACATTCAACATCAACTAAGCATTTTCCACTATTTTCTGGTAAGCCCCATAGTGTCAAAAAGAACTGTTTAATTTCTTAGCATATTTTCCCTCTTGTTTAGAGAGTACATATACATTCAAAAAATGAAGTTAATGGTTTGAATAATGTAGCTAATACAAAGACCCATTTAACCTGTGCACAAATAAATATTGTAAAAGAAAGCAAATATATATGTTGATTGAATAGCTTCAGAACAGAATAACTGTACTTTTTTAAATAGCCTTATTCTGTAGAAGTATTAAATTGCTATTCCAAGCCAGCCAGTAATTCTATTCAGAGAATAGTGTAGGTTTTAAAAGGAATGGTAGGGTGAAAGACTCTTTAGAGGTTCTTGGTGAAAAGAGATTCATGGAGTGCTGGAGAAGGCTTGTGCTTTAGTCGGCTGAACCTCTGTTCTTTTGTGTTATGGTTAAACTCCTGATATCTTTGGATTGCTAAATTTTAAATGACTTAATAGGGAGAAAGACATATCAGGGGAGGAGAGGTCTACTGATTTCTGGTAGTTATCTGTCAAGCAAGCACTTTGAGCAGATGGTAGGTTGTAATCCTCCCAATAGGCTACACCTACGAGGTCTCTCTTGGGTCCTCTGATCAGCAGTCATAACACATGTTTACTTTAGGATTTATTTTTAGATGATATTATGAATTAATGATGCCTCAGGTTATTTGTTGTGTGCCCTTTTCTAACCTCTGAATCATACTGATGTGTAGGATAAAGAAAACGACAAGAAAGCAAACAGGTCAGTTCACACACAACATATTCTAAAGGAAATCTGGCCAACTAAAGAGAGTTGAAAGAACTTGATGGAAAACCAGTCTGACTTCAAGTTTACTGAAATACTTCCAGTGATATGAAAGTTTTCTTCTAAGCTCAACACATACCAACTAGTCTGAAATATGGATTCTTTAGTCTAACACCATCTATTATATTACTTTATTTATGATAAGAAATCTACCATTCTGTGTGCATGACTAAGATAAATACCTTTCACAAGAAAATATGATAAAGAAATTTTATTGACTTCTAAATCTGCAATTCTGGACATATGTGGCTATTTCCAAAACCAGCCTGTAAAATTACTTGTATGAGTATTAGCTTTGTGGATTAAACTTTCCTAAGGTCAATAATAAGGACATCTAAGACAATATATACCAATTGTGCAATTGTCTGAAACCAAATTCCCTGTAATTGAAAGCTCCCAACCAGAGAGCCAAAATCATTGAAACCAATGAAGATTGTGAAATTATCTATCTATCTATCTATCTATCTATCTATCTATCTATCTATCTATCTATCTATCTATCTATCTATCTATCTATCTCCATCTGAGTTTTGTAACGTTGTGCATAAGTACCTATTTTTTAATGATTTGGTGGTTATTTGCTAAAATCACCATTGAGATAGGGCTAAATGATTAAATCTGATTGAACAGTGTTGCAAATTGTTTCCTTCTCTGGAAAATTTACAGGTAGAAGCTATTTGAACACACACACACACACACACACACACACATTTTGGATTTATCTGTGATGGTTTCAGTCTACATAATGAGTGTCTGTCAGCTGTTGTGTGAGACATCAAGACAATAAAATAGAAAACTTGTAATTACATGGCCCCAGAACCAGCACACAAATAAATGTAAAAGACAAAGTTGAATAGCTACAATAGTTTTATACAAAGCTCCAACTCTGAATCTAGAGAGAATAAATAATGCCTATAAAAGCATCAGAGGTAACATCTACTTTCCAAGTCAATGAACCAAATAAATGTTGCCATCAATTCCAATACTAAGAAACTTTCCCTAGGTTCCTCAAGTAGGAACTAGTACTGCTCAGAAAAGCTACCTGCAATAGATGTTATGGTGAATGAATGAGTTAATTTATGTGAAGTATTTAGCTATATTCTCTTCAGAAAACAGTAAGCACTCAGCAGGGTGTTAACCTATTCAGCTATTACCACCCTGCTATTACCATT